AGGGATATATTAGTCACTCAGTGCCTCACTATGTAAAATTGTAAAGAATTAAAGGGTTATATTAGTAAAAGTTATATTAAAATACCTAAGTTAGCTAAATAATATTTATGGAATGTCCGAACCTAGATTATTAATTATTAATATCAATATTATTTGTCCAAACCTAACTACGAAGCATGATTCTTCGCCAAGTAAGATTCCGAAGCACCAGAAACAGCCATGTAGGTTCAGCGCATTCGGGAATTATATATAGGGGCGATATTGATTTTTTTTATAAAAAAAATAGCATGGGCCCCCTGATCTTGATGTAGCTGGGTCAGTGCTTCATGAATACAGAATCTCGTGAATCATGTGATCATACTGTACAATACATAGGGCTCCACACATGCCCACTAATTGGGCAAATAATAATAATAAAAAAAAACACATTGAGAAACTGATAATAATTTGTTTTTGTTACTTTTGTTTAATATCATTGAACCTTTTTCAGACGTTATCATTTTGAATAGAATGAGAATAGATATAACAAAAAAATACTGTAATTTCAACTCTTCTTAAAGTAACATTATTCACACTTATCCTTGAAATTCGCTTTATTGTTGAAATGATATTTGGTGGGAAGAAAAAAAAAAAAAATGCCCTTTTAAAGATTCAAAAAGTTAATTCAGACAAAATTGCAATTTTAATCTTGTTAGTTTGATCCGGTGGTGTTTTTAGTTCTCAGTTCCAAAAGGACTGAAATGACAACAAACTACTAAATTACAGGATCAAAAGACAAGAAGTTAAAATATAGAGACTAAAAATGCTACGACATTAAACCAGCGGAACTAAAGATGCAATTTTGCCTTTAATTTATCTATTTTGATGGAAAAAATAGGAAAAGTCTAAACTTTGAAAGGTAAAATATTTACAATTATTGTCCTGTTGGTTTGATCCAGTAGTGTTTTTAGTAATAAGAATTTGAACATTTTTGTTATTTGGTCCTATGATTCGAAATTCAACGCAATTTCAGTCATTTGGGACTGGAAATGCAACAAAATTTAAAATTACAAGATTTAAATTGCTAATATAAAATTTTTTGATTAGATTTTTAGTTAGCAATTTAAGTCTTATAATTTTAAATTATGACTGAAATTGCAGCAACTTACTAAACTACATGATCAAAAGATAAAAAATTAAAATCTTGAAACTAAAAATATTATAGCATTAAACCAGCGAGACTAAAAATGTAATTTTGCCGATTTCAAAACACTTGCAAAATACCCCCAAAAAAAAAAAGATTTGTAGTGATATTCTTCATCACCAATTCCCACCACAATCCACATGGGCCACGTGAAAAAACTAATAAAACTGGGGACTGATTGTGAAATTTCCTCACCAATTGAATCACTATAAGTCTATAATATCCTTATTAATAACTTTTGGTTGGTTGAAGAATAGGACAAAATGATTAGCTGCCCATATTTATTTGGCTGTCAGAAAATATTTCAAATAATTTAATTAGTCCGTACGTAATCATTTACTTCAATCATTTACTCAAAACAATGAAAACTAATTTTTTGTAATATAAAAGGACGTGCTCTAGCAAAATGGATTTGACTTATAAAGATTGTCTATTCAATTGAGTTGAAAAAATGGTACTTTATGATTAATTGTTAGTGAATTTTTAATTTTATATTAAAGTAATATTTAAAATAAAATAACTCGAATTGATTTGATGTAAAATTGAAAAAAAAAATTGTGTAAAATGATGATTAGTTAATATTTTGTGAGTAAATATGAATAATAAATTAAAATTGATTTGATTTGTAAGATTTATTGATTGAAATTATTTAATTATATTGATAATATTCGAAGATATTGAAGTTGAGTTAGATTTGTATTTTCATATACAAACACACCCTCCCTCCCCAGAATTGTTTTGCGAGTTTGTTTGTTTAAAGGTTCGTGAAGAATCCCGTTTGATGGACTCATGCAGAGAATTGCTTTTAATTGATAGATACGTAAATTAAAAGCTCGTTAGAATAAACGGCCCCATGAGTCGACCAGAGCATAAAGGCCGACGATAGATCTTGCGGCTAGGCCGTTAAAGAAACTTAATAAACGTGTGATATTTCAAATCATACATATACACTTTAATGAAGTGTAGATACGGTCAAACGATCTAACGACGAAATGTGCAAATAGCATATGATAGTTCTTATCTAATTGTTCTAGTGTTATGTCTACTCAACCATTAGATTGGCCTAATTTCTCACAAATATGCATTATTTTATTAAAAAGCGTCATATTTATCAAGAGTATGACATTTGACAGTATCAAAAATTCTATGGAGCAATCGGATGGTTTTCTTATGGAGCCAATCATCGATTAATACATTGACATATGTCCATGAGCCGAGCCATCCGATGGCTCCACAGCAAAACTGTTGATAGTATATAAATATGCATTTTTGTTCAAATAATATTATGAATCGACATGCCTTACGGTTAAACTGTTTCGTACAAAAGTTATATTTAATTTCTATCCCGTTCACTCTCCCAAAATATCAAGAAACTTAAAAGAAAAAGAAATTACTCCAAAATGGATTTATTAATAGTTGTTAGGTTGATGGGCCCACGAGTGCACCGTAGCATGTTCTAATAAACTTTAATGAACAAGAATCCAAGAAGGAAATACAAGGTGGATAAGATTTACGAGCTATGTGGTTCTCAGCGTAACCATATGAAGATATCAATGTATTACTTCTTGATGCCATACAACAATATTAGTATGCCATATTTTATTAAATACAAAAAAAAAAAAAAA